CAGCGCTGGATCTTGTAAGTATTTAAATATAATTACACAAACATGCACACATTTTAACTTTTTTTTCTTTTCATTGAAGTAGGCAGTGGCTTCTGGGCCAGTTAAGTAGTTCCTTTAGTTAATATGTATATTCTAATTAAATCTTCTTCAGGACCACTACTCATGTGTTATACAGCCATGTTACATGTTTGATCATATTGCTGACATGCTAAGAGTCTATGAGAAGTGCAGATACCTTAATAAAATAAAGTTCAAATTAGGAGTGGATTTGTATCACGTTGCCATCATTTTTGAGTTAGACTTTTATAAGCTTATCCCTGAAAAGGTTTAAGTACTCTTAAACTTTAAAAAATGTATAATTGCAATAACTATCACTAAAAGTGGTAGTTGTGGACCAAGTCTTTCTGTCCCCTCAAATTCCTATGTTGAAATCTCAATCCCCAATGTGATAGTGTGAGGAGATGGAGTCTTTAGAAGGCAATTGGTCATGAGGGTATAGCCCTCATGAATGGGACTGGTACCCTTATAAAAGAGGCCCCACAATTCTACATGGGGAGGTTCCCAGTTCATATCTGGGGACTTCTCTGAGTATTCCAGGCATGCATGTGCCCATGATCTGGGGTTGGCTGGAGGCTGGGATTAGATTTTGGCATCAAGACCCTATTGGGGGTGCTGTCACTCAGTCTCATGGAAGAAATAAATAAATAAACTGTATAAAAAAGATTACTGGGTCAGTAGGTGGTATAGAGGTTAAGGTGCTGGAGTCCACATGGCTGATTCTATGGTTTGAATCCTGGACCCAGTGGCTTGAAAATCATGCTGGGTGTATGTATGTGTGCATACCCAAAATCCCACAAGAAAAATGGAGGAGAAGGGATTGTGGCATGGCCATCATCCCTAGGAAGTGATTTCTCACTTTCCCTCTATCTGTATGTCTCTGGAGAGTGCACATGCCCTTTAGCAAAAACTGAAAAACAAAAATAAAAATATTATCTAAAAAGAAAAAGAAAAAAAAAAAACTACTTAAAAAGACACCCCAAAGAGCTCTCTAGCTCTTTGTCTACCATAGGAGAGTGCAGTGAGGATATGGCCAACTGGAAATCAAAACAGTGTCCTCAGACACTGACCTGCCATCACCTTAATATTAGTCTTCAGCATCCAGAACTGTGAGAAATAAATGTTTCTTGTTTAAGCCACCCAGTCTGTGGTATTCCCCAAATTGACTAAGACATTGGTTCTCCTGTTCTGACCAAGTAGACCTACAGATCCAGTTCTGTACAGAGTTCTCTGCTCCTCTATAGGTCATTCGGAAATGTGATGGCATTTCTAATTGCCACACTGATTTGAAAGTACTACTGCCATTTTAGTGGGCATGTACGAGAGTGCTAAAGTCCTGCAGTGTGCAGGAAAGGTTCCACCGATGAAGATGTGTTAATATGCAGAATGCCTCTGAGAAACACCGCTTGTTTCCTCCAAGTTAGTCTGATTCAATCAGTGTGGTATTATACCCCCCCTTAAAGTCTTTATTCGTGTGACATTATATTTAAAATTCCAACATGAATTATGAAAGGCAACTTTGCGTAGTAGAATGACCACTGGTCTGCCTACCTGAGTTTGTTGTTATAGACTGGCTCTACTGGTAACTAAATATGCAACCGTGAAATGGACATGTAAACTCCCTGGACTTGGGTGTCCTAGAAAACAAAGAAGTTGTACTGTTATTCCTAAATTCTCTTTCATCTTTAATATCATATGATTTATATTTTGTTGGCATGTTTCTGCCTTTAAAATTACAGTTTATGATATTGCTAAGAAAATGTTTTAATTAAGATCATCAAGCAGTATTTTTTAATTCTTTTTTTTTTTAAATAGAGTTCCCCTAATGGAAAATAATTAAATATCTTAAAAGGGCTTTAACTCTGACTGCCAGTGACTCAAATTTTCAGATAATCCTGTGAACAGAAATGACCATAAGAGATTTTCTTTCCTTTGGGCAGAACCACACTTAAACCATTCTAAAGAAATGATAATTAAACTTGATGGAGAGCCTCATCTACTTCTAAGAATTCATCTCAGTTTAATCAGTTGCTGAGTCTGGTAATCCTTCCTTGCGTCTAATCTAATTCTTATATCCTGAAGCTCGAGTTCATTATTTCTTTCTCTCTCCTCTCTAGTGAGAGAACACCACTGGCATTTCTTTGTATAATAATCCTTCATACATATGGAGCCAGGCTTCATTCTTCTCTTGAAGTTAAATGAACTCATTTCTATTTGTCTTGTCACACAGTCTTATTATATAGTAGTTTGTTCGTTAGTTTCACAAGGAGCTTCACTATCCTCCTTACACATTATTTTTTCAGTTTTTGCCATAGGGTGCTCACCAGAGACAGAGAGTAAGAGACAAAGAAAGGGAAAGTGAGAAATCACTTACCGGGGGGTTACCCATGCCACAATCCCTTCCCCTCCATTCTCCTTTCAGGATTTTAGACACCCATGAAAATGCACCTGGCATGATTTTCAAGCTGTCAGGTCCAGGACTCAAACCACTGCCAGCCATGTGGAAATCCAGAGCCTTAACCAGTATGCCACCTGCTTGTCCTCCACTTCTTAAATATTAAGAGTCCTTTCCAGATTTAACAGCCACCTAACATGGTCCCCAAGATGCTCACCATGGCTCTTTCCCACTTGTAGACATTGGTGAAGATAGTATACTCTATTTACAAGGATCATTGATAGCAATGTTAAGCACTAAACACTGGCCTAACTCTAACAGCACTAATCTGTATCTCCTAGTAGTATTTTGGTTCATTCTGTAAAATCTCTGAGTGAAATGACTGTGAGTTCTTAATCTCATCCCGCCATTCTGAATCTCTCCCTAATAAAATAAATAGCAATTAGTAAAAATCCAACATGTTAAAAATGTTAACATTGGGTTAGCTAAGAATCAAATGACCTAGGTCTTAGTCCCAGTTCTGCCTCTGACTAGCTGGCTAATATTGGGCAAGCCATTTACCTACTTTGTGACTTAATTTCCTCATATGTTAAATGCAGAAAGTGGATTAGTAATATCTTGTTTTTCTAGTTCCAAAATTCAATAATATTGTGGGCCAGCAGGTGGCATAGTGGTCAAAGCACTGGTCTCCAACCTGGTGGACCACAGTTTGAGTCCTGGACCTGGCAGCTTGAAAATCACGGCAGGCATGTGTGCATGCATGCCCAAAATCAAGAAGAGAATAGAAGAGAAGGAATTGAAGCATGGCTATCTCCCCTGGAGCGTGATTTCTCACTTTCCTTCTCTCTCTCTCTCTCCCCCTCCCTCCCCCATGACTGCTTGTGCCCTATGAGAAAAACCAAAAAGAAAACCAGTAATATTATGATCTAACTATAAACCTAATTGAATTAGACTTCCTAGGGGCAGCAGAATGTGCTGTTCCTTCTCCATATATGGTCCTATTCAAATGAATGCTATCACATGTGGAATCCAAGAAAGAATCAGGTATAGAGGAGGGCTCTGCTGCCAGGCACAAGAGAAAACGAGAGATGTTAGACAGCGAACATTTCTCGCTCTAAACCAGTTCCTGACTAATGGAACAATACACGATTAGGACAGGTAAGTTATGTCAACATTATGTAGTGTGTACTTCAAGAGTCCCTCCCACCCTCGACAAACACTTAGTTGCATGTGAACAGATTTTGTGCATATTGTGCATTACTTTATTGAATTTATTATGCCCCAATTCTTTCTCAAAAATCATACTGGCTTACAATAATATCACATATAATAAAGTGACTAGAATAAAATATAAGCAACAAGAAAAAACATTGAAAACAATAAGAGAAGACATAATGTAGCCTGCCGCATGAGGGACTGACGAAATCATAGGAGTGTGAGGAAAGCCACTAGCCCACAAGTGCACAGCCTCTTGCATATATTCACTTGACAACAGAGGCAGATGACAGTAGGCCAGTACACGACTCTGGGGCAGAGGAATTGCCCACTGGAGACATGGCAAGGGCTTAAGTCATGGAGGTAAGTTCAGTTATAGACTCCAAAGATGGTAGACCGAGAGTGTGGTATTTCTCTCAAGGTTATATTGTGGGGTGGGGGGCAGGAATCTGTGTTCTATCTTCTTTATCCTCCTCTTCCCAACTCCTTTTTTAAATTCTCCGTTTCCAATCACTACCAACATGTCTAAGGAAGCTTTTAACCACAGGTTTTGGATGATTTTCTCTGTGGTAATTAACCAGAAAAAACCACCCACACAACCACCCCAAGCCCGTTTCCCTGGCACAGTCCTCCTCATCCTCCTCCAACAGCCAGTTAAGCCTGTTCATCCCTCAGACTTAACGCTTTTGCTTTAGTTTTATTGAATTATAAACTGAATTTAAAATATAGAAAATAAGCTAATGGATTTTAGGACCCCTTTTTTGATGTTTTGACTTATACATTTTTTAAAGCCCTGCATTAAGCAGTACACTGGTTTATTCATCCCACATTTAGAAGTCATTCAGAATGAAAACTAGTAAGTCTTACATGGACCCTGCCCAGTTTCTTAAGTAACCAAAGGTGTACCTCCTCTGGCCTGCCAATGCTTTATGATCAGGTGAAGGTAAGTACCAGACATATGTAGTATGATATTTGTTGTTCAGTTATCTGGTAATACCTCAAAATTTCATTGCCAGCCATCTATAAAATAGTAAGCCATTTTCACCTTTTAGAATGATTTTGATTATTACTAATAAATAGAGACTTTTGGAGTGGAAGTTGATAGATTTGAAGATAAATAGATAATATTACCTAGGAAAGGGACCTATTGAAGTACTGACATCCCTGGAGTATACTACATACCCAGACTGCAGTTAATATTAAATGGTGAGACCAAAGCATGGATTCTATTTTAAGCTGTTGAATTTCAACATGAAAGTGCCCTTTATTCAGCATAAATACGGCATTCATGAAAGATGAAACACACAAGGTGCCAGAGGGCCGTGAATCCCTCCCAGTGTGAGGCAGAGTGGGCAGTGTTTGATTTTCACCACCTCTTCCCTCCTTCCAGCAAACAGCACTCTAACTCTGCTCTGACTTTGGATTCCCACCCTTTCCTGTAATAATATTGTACAGTCCCCTGTTTGTGCTTTATGATGTACCAGGATTTTTAAATAACCATTTATTTTAAAGAGAAATTTTCAGATATTCCATTACAAGTTCACCTGAAACCTAATCATTGCTTTTCTTGTATTCCAGTTGGAGCTATTGGCTTTGGTACAGGTGGGGAAAGAAGGGGAAATGTGTTACATTTATTTGAAAAACATTATCCCCCATGATTTGAATTTTTTCACAATGAAAGTCTGAGTAGTTTAATTATTATATTCTTAGGTATGCGTAAAACTTGAGTCTCAAAAGGCTCTGTTCCTTACAATATTATTGAAGTACATAAATGCTACAGCTGATCTATATGATAAAATAATTGCTGTGAAAATCTTACGGACTGTCAGATCTAAAAATCAGTTCAGTGTCAATATTTAATAACTTGAACAGCAAATGCCAGAATTTAAGTAGCAATTTCTTTTTTCCCTCCTGAAAAAAAAAGATAGCTGGTTCTGTCATTATTTAAGCATATTTGTTCAATGTTTGAAGAAAATGTTGAGGAACTTTGGAATTTAGAGCTAATATGTAGGTAAAATTGCTTGCATTGTCTTTCAAGATTCAATTTGACAATTTAAAAGCCTGTTCAGTCCTTTGACTTAACCCTTGCTCTTTTCTCTCGTTTTAATTTTTTCCTCATTTGTTGGAATATTATGTAATAAACAGAACCATGAAATGATTCCCTTATTTCGAATACGTCAATTTAAAATTCATGTTTCCAAACTATTATAAGTGTGTGTGTGTGTTTTTCCCCTTAAGCTGCGAGCTGGTCCCTTTGATGAGTTCCAGATCGCCACCATGCTAAAGGAAATTTTGAAAGGTCTGGACTATCTGCATTCAGAAAAGAAAATTCACCGAGACATAAAAGGTATACAAAAGTCTGATATAAACCTGAGAAAAATAGATGCATTATGAGGAAGCTGAGGTGTTCTTTGCCTTTTCTCTCCTAGCTGCCAATGTCTTGCTCTCAGAACAAGGAGATGTTAAACTTGCTGACTTTGGTGTTGCTGGCCAGCTGACAGATACACAAATTAAAAGAAATACCTTTGTGGGAACGCCATTTTGGATGGCTCCAGAAGTTATTCAGCAGTCAGCTTATGACTCAAAAGTAAAGTATTACCTGTACAGTTTTCTTTTAACTAATAAGGCTTTGCATAACACACTACCCTAGTTAATAAACTGCCTTATTTTTCCTTTCTTTTCAAGTGCTTTTTTCTTTTAATTGCCATAGGGTATGTGTACTTGCCAGAGAGAAGGAAAAAGCACTCTCCAATGGAGCGTAGTCACACCTCAATCCCTTCTCCTCCAATCTCTCCATCCTGTTGGGATTTGGAGCATGAATACACACACAGCCTGGCATGTTTTTCAAGCTATCAGGGTTGGATTTTGAACAGTGGTCAGTCATGTGAGATTCGGTGCCCCTAACCACTAGGCTACAGAGCTAGCTCTCAAGTGTTTTATAAGCTAAAGTTGTGTTATAGTTTGGTAGTTAATCATAATTCCCTTGATTACAGTATTATTCAGACCCAATTCACATCAATGGCTTTCCATCCCACTTGGAATATAATCCAAAGTTCTTACTATGACATAGGAGGCTCTACATGATGTGGCTGTTGTCTGCCTCTCTGGCCTCATCTCCTCCCACTCTCTTCTATCTGCTTCAACCACGGTGGCCTCACTGTTCCTCAGACACAGCAAGTTTATTCTGGCCTCAGACCTTTGTACTTGCCCTACTCCTGTCTGGAATAACTTTCCTCCCAAATCAGGTCCCTGCTTAAACATCATCTGAACAGATAGTCTTCCCTAGCCATCCTATGTAGATTTGTAGCCCTCTTGACTCAATTGTTGATTATTCCCTTACTCTTTTTTATTGTTTTTATCACAGAACTTAGTCCCATCTAACATCAGTTTATTTATTTATCTAAAATGTAAGCTCTAAATGAAAACAGAGATTTTTGTGTGGCTTATTCTCTGCCTGAATCCTCCATGCTTAGAATAAAACAGAGAACTCAGTAACTAATTTTTTATATATGAATTATATTAATAAAAATGTATTAACCTTACACTCTTGACCAGCTTTAGTACAGTAACTGATCATTACATTCCAACAGTCTATTTTGTGGCAGTATGTTGGAATGGAGTTTCATGGTGATAGATATAAATGTATTTTTCTCTTACCTTAGGCTGACATCTGGTCATTGGGAATTACTGCTATTGAGCTAGCCAAAGGAGAGCCACCCAACTCTGATATGCATCCAATGAGAGTTCTGTTTCTTATTCCAAAAAACAATCCTCCAACTCTTGTTGGAGACTTTACTAAGTCTTTTAAAGAGTTTATTGATGCTTGCCTGAACAAAGACCCATCATTTGTGAGTATATACTGCTGTCACTACTATTTGTTTTCTATTTCTAGATCTACTTACAGCAAAGGTGGCTTTTCCTACAGTGGGGAATATACTACATGCAAAAATTATCCAAGGTCCATCTGGAACCTGGTTCTTTCCATTATTTTGCTCATTCTATTCTGCCCTTAATCATATTTTTAGTTCTTTTTCTTTTTCCTCTGTGTCTTTTTCTTGGTAACCAGGTTTTTTTTTTATTCTATTGATCATTTTCTGTCTCAAGGGGGAAAAAAGTTGAAAATAAAGTTCATTTTATGTAATTAGTAAAGTTTATATATGGTACACATATTCATATTCACAATGGTTTTTATTTAATTGTGGGGTTTTTTTTTCATGAAAGGTTATCTTCATGTTTAACTATTTCTATTTAATGTTTAGATGGTCCATCATGAAGTTGCATACTTCTAGTCTAGTGAGCACTACTCACTTGGTAAATTTGATTAGAGTTGTTTTATTATTGTTAAAATAAAGTTGCCTTGTGACTTATATAGACTTAAAATGTGTAAGAATGAAACTTGATGTAACTATTTTTAAGTTGATAATAAACATTCTGATATTCATAAAATTCTGGGAAGGAAATACCCCCTATAGCACCTAGTGTTTGCATTTAGATGCAATAGAAATTGATGCTGTAGAGAAAGGATTATAACATCCAGATAATAATAAAATTACAGCCTTGTTAGTTTTTATCAGTTTTTTTTTTAATTTACGGTGAAAGTATTATAGTTATTTAAATTTTTTGCATTATTTTCTAAATCCTGCCATGTGTTTTTCTGCTTTTAAGAAGGCCCAGTCAGCTAGTTTTCTAGTAAGTAGGCCATCCCTGCCCAGTAGGCTTAAACAAATTAGGGTATCAAAGTAGTGTATTTAATTTGGTTGCCTTTAGGCATTTCAAAGAGAGAACTAGCTATTTTTCTATAGCACTCAATTGCCCTCATGTCTACAAATATAGTTTTCTACCTTTCAGATGAATAATTAAAGTAATTTTGTTTACCACCCCTCACAATCATAGAGTCTAGAAATAGTCATGCATCAACATTATTTCCCTTAGCGTCCTACAGCTAAAGAACTTCTGAAACACAAATTCATTGTAAAAAATTCAAAGAAGACTTCTTATCTGACTGAACTGATCGATCGATTTAAGAGATGGAAAGCAGAAGGACACAGTGATGATGAATCTGATTCCGAGGGCTCTGATTCGTATGTACAAATTACTTCCTTGTTATGTAGGTAGCCCATTTTAATATGGCCTGTCTTTTAGCTATGACTCAGTATGCTTGTTCTAGCATAAAATATAAGCCATATTCTGAAATTTCACCTTAGAAACTGTGCAAGTCTTTTTTAGTCAGTGTGTGGAACACAATGAATTTGGAAACATGTTTTTCTTGGAAGTAAATAGCTCTAGTTTTAAATGGTCTCGGTCTAACCCCTAGTGGATACTTGAGTATATTACAAAATTTTGGAACAAGAGTCTACTAAAGGTGTTATGTTAGTTTGCCCAAAGGAATAAGGAGTTCTGTCTTCTCATGCTTTGATAGCAACCCGTGTAATCCTTCTGGAGAACTGACCTCCAAGGCCCTTCCTACCACTTGTCCACATATCAAACCATGATAAAACATTTAAATATTTAAATGTTTAAATATTTAATTATGGATGAATTTTACCCCCTGGAAAACTTGCAGTTTTTTTAAATGGCAGCATTTACATTAATAATCCATCCTCTAAGTCCCTAACTTAATTTAAAGTAGAAAAGTCTATATACTATACCAGGATTTACTCTTCCATCAGCTAAACTAGCACAATGGCAATGCCAAACTTTTTGGATAATAGTCTCAGATTCCTGTATTTATGAAAAATTGCCCAATGCTTAAAAGGGATTAAAAAATATCAGGATACTTTAGACCCTGTTCTAATGGTCTTTAGCCTTAGCTACTCATGTGAATCACCACGGAGCCTCAAAAAAAAAAAAAAATCAGAAACCATGCTACTGGAGATTCTGATTCATTCAGTAGGGAGTGGTGGGGAACAGGTGCTTATGTATGATAGGTCTTTACGGGGGACTCTGGTGCACATTTGGAGGTGAGAGCCACTACTACTCTTTAGTAAAACGTAATATCCTCATGAAACTGAGACCAAATGCTTTTTATATGATGAGTGTTTAAACACTGAAGCTATGATCTCTTCAGATTCTGCCTGCACTAGTGTTTTCACTAAGCTGAATTATTTAGGGTCTTACAGAGGTATCTTTGGTCATCTCTTTAGGGAGTCCACCAGCAGAGAAAATAATACTCATCCAGAATGGAGCTTTACCACTGTGCGAAAGAAGCCAGATCCAAAGAAACTACAGAATGGGGCAGTATGTACATGGAGATTATAACTTCCTTTTGATAGACTTTTCACATTATATAGTGAGATGATAATGGCCAAAAATGGTTAGAATTTCCTGTCTGCCTCACTGTGTACATAGTATGCTTCATTTGTCATTACTTTTGAACTAATTAAGAAGAGGTGAGCCAGTAGGTAGTGTAGTGGTTAAGGTGATGGACTCCCATGTGGCCAACCACAGTTTGAGTCTCAGACCTGGTGGCTTGCTCTCTCATTTTCTCTCTCTTCTTCTCTCATTAAATTAAAAAAAAATAATAATCAATAAACAAAAAAAAATTTTAGAGGTAATAGCAATGATTAAAGTGGTCATTGATATTTTTAAAATGCATTCTGGGGCCAGCAGATGGCGTGGTGGTTAAGGCGCTGGACTTCCACATGGCCCACCATGATTCGAATCAGGACCCGATGGTTTGTTTCTTGCTTTCCCTTTTTTTTTCTCTCTGGTCAATTTAAAAATTATAATAATACTGATAGTTTAAAAATTAAATACTTTTTAAAAATGCATTTCACCTACATTTACATAATCCCAGGGGATCATAGATATCTACTGTAATCCTAGACATTAGAGGCCTTCTAGATAATGGATGGGAATTAGTAATAGGAAGAAAACATAGGGACTTGCCTTATATAAAGTCTTTTTGTCAGGAGAGGAAAATCAATTCACATTTGTTATAAAATAACTAAGAAAAGCATGAATATTATCTTAATGCCATGTGTATAATTCATATTATTTGTTTAAAGGAGCAAGATCTTGTGCAAACCCTGAGCTGTTTGTCTATGATAATCACACCTGCGTTCGCTGAAGTGAGTGCAAATTCATTACCACTGGATATCTATTTTAAGTAGTATAGTACTTTAAATGTTATAGCTATTGATCTTCCTCAGCTTAAACAGCAGGATGAGAATAACGCTAGCAGGAACCAGGCAATTGAAGAACTTGAGAAAAGTATTGCTGTAGCTGAAGCTGCCTGTCCTGGCATCACAGATAAAATGGTGAAGAAATTAATTGAAAAATTTCAAAAGTAAGTTTGAAATATCATTTTCAAAAACTGTTTTGACATTTTCTGTGGGATGTTAATTTATGATACAATATAATTACCTTCATCCAATTATTTTAACTATTCCTAAAAGGTGACTTTTTAATCATTGTATCCTCAAAAACAATTTTGGTTTTGCTTATCTTAAACATGAGCTTTTGGAATTATTATCATTAGGCATGATGAGGTAGTTTACCATGGAATGAAATGACTTGTTTTGTTTTTATTTCCCTTCTAGAAGGAGTATAGACAAATGGTCATGAGCATATTCTTAATTGGGCTCTTGTAACATCATTTAGAAATGTGTTCACTCTTGCCATTACTCTCAGTGTTGGAAGAAACGCCACTATTCACATAGTTTCCAGTGCTAAGTCTCCTGTGTTTGACCCCCATAAGTTAAGGAAAAGATTTTAAGTAGAGGAACTAGTCCGGATGATAAAAGGCCCTTATGTTCCCCTTCACTTTCTATACCATCTCTTGAACTATCAGTTTGATTTTGTTCACATTTAAGAAAGTTTGTGGGGCCAGCAGGAGGTATAGTGGTTAAGGCATTGGAATCCCACGTAGCCAATCACTGTTTGAATCCTGGACCCAGTGACTTGAAATCATGCTGGGAGCATGTGCATGCATGCTTAAGATCCGGAGAGGAGAATGGAGAAAAAGGGATTGCAGCATGGCTATCCCCCCAGGGGGTGATTTCTCACTTTCTGTCTCTCTGTCTTTTTTTTTATATCAAAATAGAACAATTTATTCAAGACATAGTCTCTGTCTTTTTCTGCCTCTGGCGAGTGCATGCATCCTATAGCAAAAATCTAAAAACAAAAAAGAAAAGAAAAGAAAGTTCTTACACCTAATTTTAAAATTCTTTTTCTAAGCATGACTTTTGTACGCATACACACACATTTATTCCTTAGCTCAAGCGAGTTATAAAGTAATACTAACTTTAACCTAATTTCATTATATCTCTTCTATATCTCTTCTCGCATCTTTTTATTTCCTAGTATTTGTGATGCCATTGGGATCAAGTGGGACCAAACTATAGGCTTGTAAAATCACACACACTCGAAGGCCTTTCTGTCTGCTAGAGTCCACTTGTACTTATAAACTAAAGGGCCACTTAAAATCTCTTAGATGTTCATGGAAAACTCTCATCTGTTTTCCAGTTTGCAAATACATCAGTTGGAAATTGTGAAATCAGAAAAAATGTTTTCATATTTGTTTTATATTTTAATATCTGTGTGATGAGATTAAATAGAAAGAATTTATGTCATTTGCTGATTCAGTTCCTTCATCGCAAAGTTTATAAAAATGAGAAATAGAGGCATGCATAGTTGTTCGTTGATTTACATGTTTGTTTGTTTGTTTTTAATTTTATAGGTGTTCAGCAGATGAATCCTCCTAAGAAACTTCTTATTGGCTTGTTTCATATGGACCCATAGAAACCCACCAAACCTATTCAAGCTTAACAATGCTTAACTCACAAGCTCCATGTGCCTTTTGGATCTTTGCAGCATTGAAGATTTGGAAGAAGCTACTTAACTATTTTGTGATGCTGTTTATCACTTTATATTTTAAAGAGATTATTTTGTAATGAGTAACTTTTAATATTTTACTTTCACTTGTATTCTAGTAAGTGTCGAGATGCAGTTTTGCTTTTAGGTATCCTTATTTGTTAAGCTACTAGGATGAATACCTTTCATGTTTTGATCATCACTTAACTGTACACTAACAAAACGTACAGATCTTTCAAAGTCATCCTAAACATTCAACTTGGGTAAATCATCAAGCTTCAAAAAGCTGTTGGTAATTTATACAAGCTTATTCTAAAAAGAATGACTATTGGTGAAGAGGTAGAAATAAGTCGTACCTTCTTTAAACAAATTCTTCATAAGCTCTTGGAAATGAAACCTAGAAAGGTACTGACTTTTCTAAGAAGTTGGTATGATATTCCAGTCAGCTCAGTGATGGTGACATTTGAGAGCCCTGTGTTGGAAGCATTTGCTGGCGACATGTAGCAAAGGAGGTTCATCTGGGTGTACAGTATTTTACCTTCACTTTTAGAAAGAAGAAGCAATTAACCCTTATTTAATATGGTTGGAAATTTAAATCAATATCATTAGGCAAGGATGAGTTTTCTGTAGTACTGTAGGAATTAGCCTGGCTTCATTTTATAAATCTTCAGCTCAAATTGCATATTGAATGCTTGGATCTGGAGAGCTTTTAAAAAAAGCTGATTGTTGTGATGAAATACCTGATCCACAGGTATAAATACTACTTACACCTGCATATTTTTGTTATGATATTAAATTGTCCTATAAACTATTTATACATATTTGTCCTTCATAATTATCCGTATATAAGCATCACTTGTTCATTTTTGAAAGGGTATTTAAGTGGGCATTTTCTAGATAATATGAAAGTAATCATAGTACAGGATGATTTCTGTCCATACAGAGGTGAGTTAGATTGTACAGTTAATTTCAGTTATATTTATGGTACTGTTAAGTGGGTAATACATTTTCCTTTACAGCCCAGTATATATATTATGCCTGCCTAAGTTCTAAACTGGGGCTGTGTTTCAGTAGTTGTAGAATTATTGATATTAATTAGTTTTAGAGTTAATGTTGTACTATTTGGATCTGCACATTTTGGGTTTTGCACAAAAGCCTTTTTTTTAAAAAAAAAATCTGAATAATTGCCAAATATTAGAGGAAAGCTATTCTTCAAGTAAGAATAGTTTGTAGTCAAAGTGGCCAGTACATCCTATTTTTTAAACTATAACACAGACACTTGAGAAAGTTGTTGTGGTGTCATATGACAAGAAAATTATTTTCATCGGTGCCTATACTGTAACAATTACTTTTAACACATTGTATTTTGATGGTTGAGTTAAAATTTTCATCTGCTACATAGTTAAAATTCAGTTACAGATTATATTCTGTAGAGGTTTGGAAATAATTTTGAAACTCATATCATGGATTAAATAAATATTTTTGTAAAAGTAAAAGCAACCAATTTATAAATTGATTATTTGAAACTTTACAACAGAGCTGCATCACAGATTCATTTGTATTGCTTATTCATTATAGGTATTAGTCCTGTAAACTGTTTCTAGGTGAAGCATATTCCAGTGTGTTGGGGGTTTTAAAAATAAATATTTAAATTTCATGGTTCTTAATGTTTGTTTTCTTTGGGGGAGGATACTGTATTATTTTCATTGCTTCAAATTATTTCTCCTTGCCTTAGCACTGTTAGGATGTTAAAACCAAGGTTTCTGTTGAAATGTAGACAATATTCTTTCCATTTTATTAAGGACTTATTATAGCTACAGTGACTATCTGTCCTAATTTCTGCCTCCCATCTTGAAAACATTATTAATAAAGTCCTCTTTCACTCAAAAATGTCCTGGGTTGGGTTACCTTATTGTTTTATTAGAAGATCAAATACAGATTTGAGCCTTATACTTCTCTAGGGAAAACAAATTTAGGAAAGATTTTCAAACATTGAGTTGAGATATAGCAGGTAGCATAATAGAATTCGAGTTTTTCCTAGAGAAAAAGTTGGGAGTGAACTTAGTGTAGCTTAAAAGAACCTATAGAGTATATAGGTGATCAGGCTTCAAGATGTTCTTATTGAATATATTCTAGACTTTTCAGTTCCTGGATATTCATCTTTTCTCTATTAAGGTATATATAAAAATAGCTTTCCTATATAATGATATTATTTCTTTGAAGTTTGTACTTAACAGTATCTTGTAAGTATGTCAGAATTAACATTAAAATCAACAAAGAAAATAAAGTGCTGAGATAGAATGCTATACCTTGGAGAGGACTAGAACAGAAATTCTGAATGGGTAAAGAGAATTTTGGTTCAGTAACTCAGCCCAGTGTTAGTGCTGTCCTATGCATTTCCAGCTATTCCTCCATTCTACCACTTCTCCACCAACCACACATTTTCACTTACCTCCCTCCTTTTCCTTATCTATAATTATCCCTTCCCTTTAGTTATAGGCCAGAGCCCATCGCTTCTGAAATTGATTTTTCAAAAAGGAAGACCATACTTACTTTTAATTTAATGGATTTTTCATCACTCTTTATTAAAATAACATTCATCTCATTTTCTTGCCTACATACATGCAGTAATATACAGCAAAAAATAAATTCTGGCAGGAAAAATTAGATAAGCAGATCTAGTAACATCCATCTTTCACTACATATACTAGATAATAATACAGAACTTCAGGTGGTGGGAGAGAGCGAAATGGTGAAAGATTGCTAACGATTATACATTGGGTCATTGGAAAAGTTATGATGCATTTTTGCATAGAAAAACTCATGACTTTTCTGATGACCCAATAGTTTCTTTTTTCTTTTTGGCAATAAAATGTTGTGACTGATAGATTATGATACTTTGAACATAATAAAAGCCATTGTATTGTACAATTTAAATGGGCAATTTGTATGAAATGTGAATTGTATATTGATAAAGCTACTAAAATAAAACTAAATTTAAGTCTCGCCCACATTTAGACTCAGCAAGTCTAGGTATATAGCTGAGAGACATGAAAATGTATGTCCATATAAAACTTGTATAAAATTTTTATATTGGCATTGGTATAATTAGGGAAATAACCCAAATCCATCAACTGATGAGTGGATAAATAGTAACTGATATATCTGTACAACAGAATACTATCCAATCAGAAAAGGCAATGAAGTACTGATACATGTTACAATATGGATGAATATTGAAAACATTATGCTAAGTGAAAAAAAATTATTACAAAGGATCACATCTTATATGGTTACATTTATATGAAATGTGTGCTAGAGGCAAGTAAGTTGAGTCAGAAAGTAAATTAGTGATTGCCTGGGAATGGAAGGGGGAGGTCTTGGGGATTGAGAATGACTGATAATGGATATGGGACTTCTTTTTGGAGTTATGAAAATATTTTTCAGAAACATTTTAAATTAAGCCATAATAATGGCTGTACTCTTAACATACTAAAAACCAGGGTTGCTCTGAGGCCTAGTGGTTAAGGAAGCCAGTTCCCACATGGTTGACCATGGTTCAAATCCCAGCTCTGGAGGCTTGATAAAACATGTAGAATTTGTGTACATGAGTGCCTCAAATCCCAGTGGAATGGAGAAATGGAGAAGGGATTGCAACATAACTATGCTACATTGGGAGGTGCTTTCTCCCTCTTCTTCTCTCTATCTCTCTGGTGACCACACACACCTTTTGGCAATTAAATAAAAATATATGTATATATACTAAAAGCTACTGAACACTACACTTTAAATGGGTGAATTTATGGTATGTGAATTTCATCTCAAAGCTACTAAAAATTCCCACGTAAAAGCAAAATAATTCATACAGCAACAATGAAGCTAAGATTATGTCCTTATGACATCAAAAATTTGGTTAAAAATCATAGAAAACCACTTAAAAGTTTAGATGTTTTGTCTGTGATGGATTATCCAAACAAATTACTCCAAGGATCTAAAAAATATAGAAGTTATAAGTGAGATATACTCATCAGGTATATATCTGACTTAAGAAATTGGTTTAATTCATGAGCTTTCTAGGTGTAAAATTCTGAGAAGTCCAAAATAATTCTAATTTTGTGTTCTATTGAGAGGATCCATGCCATCACCTTGTTCCTGAGTGTATAGGAGGGCCATGCTTCCCCACATATATGCTATAAAAGTTGAAGTCCTTACCATATGACAAGATTATGTGTACCAGGCCTTATATAAATAACGAAGATTGACACCTTGGTCCAGTATTCTTTAAGAACAGCATGGTCAACACAGCAGCAATGTACTAAATCACTAAATGTTACTAGAAATCAATTCCATTTGTCAAACCACATTGTCACCATTCTTCAGTTTCAGAAAGCCAATGCATCTTTGAAGAAATGTATAATGAAGATGACGAATACCAGCAATAGTGCTGGTGAGGAGAGGATATGTTCCAAAGTACTTTCAGAGAGAATAGAACAGTGAAGCTTGCAATGTGGGGCAGCAGCTGGACCTTTCGTAAACTAGGTGCCCGGAATGAGAAGATTCAACACTAATAAATAGTAAGCAAAAAAAAAGTTTTGTACGAAAAGTTCCTTATTTTTTTTTTACCTAAGTTGGTAACAGAAGTGGCCCACAAATGTTCATGGAGCTCACACTTTTAAGCTAAAAAGTAATTACATGGTTTTAGCAAAGTCCTGTCTTCAGCACTTGGTGCGTTGAAAGATACTTCTTCTTCTTCATCTAACTGCAGACTACCAGAAGACAGGCGGACTCTGGCCATGGGTGACCTTATTCCTTTGCCATACAAGGAGTAGTAGTCTGGTTTAAGAATCTCTGATTCTGAATCACTAGATTCACTAGCTACATATTTTTCTGCTGTACTCTGATCTGTTCGGACTGCTGGAAACTCCTTCTCTGGAAACATATATGTAAATAGGTCTGCTTTACGACTCAGAGCAGGACAAGGCCCTAAAGGTCTAAATTCTGACCCAAAAGGGAAACGAATAGTTTTCATGTCTGATTGGCTCTGAGACCGTTTAGGGGTATGTTCTTGAATGTTATATGCAAATGCATCTTCTAAATTTGGGTCTTCCTCTTCTAGATCTACATTGATGTTTCTCCTACCACTAGGTCTGGGCATAGCTTCTTGGAGTTCTTGAAAATCTTGCTGAAAGCTCTTCATTCTGATATTCCTTGGGCTTCTTTTGACTGGCTTAATTGCAGTGGGCTCTATATAGCTGTCTGGTCTTGCCCTTTCCTCTGCCATGATTGGAGACCATCTGGGTACCTGGGGTGGCTTGTCCACATAAAAAAATACTTGTGGAGGCATAATATCAACCTGCTGACTGGTACAAGGAATATAGGGCACATCTGTGTAAGTTAGCTGCCTTGCTGGACTCACTTTGTTTGTGAGGCCAGAAGATGTGCTCATTTGATTGTCAGCAAAGGTACAACTTGTTTGGAAGGAGCTTAGAGGACTTCTTTCTTCAAAGAAGTCTCTGGGATCAGGGTCAGGATCAGGGTCAGTGGTAAAGACAGGGTCTGTATAAATAAAAGGGAAAGATGAACTGCTTTGAGACTGATGTAACAACGTAGGATCTGCCTCAGGTTTGGAACGCTCTAGTTCAGCTGCAAATGTGACCTCCACTGCAGAGTTCCTCCTCCTGCTATCTAGCACAGGCTCAGATGCGTGCACTCCATTCACATTTCGGTAGTACCCACCGCTGTATGCTAGTCTCAAGTCTTCCACCTTGAAGAGAAGAACATAGTAGTGAAAGGAGGAAAAAAGCCATTTGGTTGGGGCGGGGGCAGAGATATAAATTAGCCTTGAACTTGAAAAGGTGGCTCTTCACAAAATCACTTCAATCCATGTTCTACTCCAGGGTTGATAAATGTATAAAAGGGGGAGTCATTTGTACTATATCCCAGTTTGTATGTTAAAAAGTACATGTGACATTATTCCTTAATTCTACCCCGCTTTCAGCCTCTGCATTTGTATATTTGAGGCAGCAATGAACTTCAAGCACTTTGGCTTAGTAACTATCTCAATGAATTGGGAGTCTTGCCTGATAATCCTGGCTCTGTCACTGACTTGCGATATGACCATAGACAAGTCTAATCTCCCTGCTCTGGCCCGTGTATTTTCAGTAAAATGGGGGCAGATGACTAGGAGTAGCTTGAGAGGTTCATATACTAGATGGTACCTTTCATCATAATACTTCTGATGCCTTTTGGATAAAAACTTTCTGACTTAAATGAAGGCAGGAGAGTTTATGATACATATGTGGGGTTGTCAGAAAAGTCATGACATATTTTTCTATTCATGCAAAAGTGCATCATGACTTTTCCAACAAACCACAAGTTAATTTTTTTCAATGGAAAGCAAAAGAAAGACATTTAACAAAGTTCATATTATAAAACTCAAAGGCCCAGTTATACTGTACATGTTGAGGACACAAGGCCTAGATTCAATGGACCAATCTGAACAGGGCAGGTACAGTAATGTGTGCCTATAACTTTAGTTGAGGGGCTAGGATGGAAGAATGCAACAAGACCCTGTCAGAAATACCTCTCTGTATCCCCCCTACTCTCTCTCTCTCTCTTTTTTTTTTTTTTTTTTTTGGAGAGGTTTTCACTATAGGGCACGTGCGCTCACCAGACAGACAGAGAGAGACATAGAGACAGAAAGTGAGAAATCACCCCCCAGGGGGGATGGCCATGCCGCAATCCCTTCTCCTCCATTCTCCTCCTGGGATCCTGGGCACGCACACACACGCGCCCGGTGTGAGTTTTAAGCCACCGGGTCCGGGACGCGAACTGCAGTCGACTATGTGGGAGTCCAGCGACATAGCCATTACGCTAACTGCTGGTTCCCTCTCCTAGTCTCTCTTTTCCTCTTTCTCTCCCCCTCCCTTTTATTTAAAATTAAAAAAAAAAATGAAATAATCATTTCACAATTCCAGAAAACAACACTGTCCTTAAGTTACAAAATTACATAGCAAAAATACTTCAAAACCTTAATCCAAGATCATACACCTTCCTCTAAACCTTAATATTTTCTTGGGGAGGCGTGGGGCAGCAGGTGGTATGGTGGTTAAGGCACTGGACTCCCACATGACTAACCGTGGTTTGGGTCCCGGACGTGGCAGTTTGAAAATCATGCTGGGCACATGTGCTTGTGTGCCCAATATCTTAGGAGGAAAAGGGAGAAGGGATTGCTGTTTGGTAATCTGCCTGGAAGGTAATTTCTCACTTTTCCACTCTCTGTCACTCTCTGTCTCTCTCCAATGAGCACACACACTCTATGACAAAGAAAAAACTAATAAGATTTCAAGGGGGGGGGGGAAACAGAACTGTTAAAAATACAGGACCCAGCAGTCTCAAACCTGATCACTAAAGAATCACACCAAGTATGTGTGGATGCATGTCCAGGATCCTGGGAGGAGAATGAAGAAGGGAGGATTGTGGTGTGACCATTCTCTCTGGAGGGTGATTTCTCACTTTCCCTCTCACTGTCTTTGTCTCTCGCCCTCTCTGGTAAGTGCACATGCCCTAAGGTAAAAACCTATTTAAAAAACAGAAGTACAAAGCCAGGGGCCAGCAGGTGGCATGGTGGTTAAGGGACTGAATTCCCACATGGCCTACTACAGTTCGAGTCCTGGACCTGGCGACTAGAAAATCACTCTGAGCATGTGTGCATGCATGCCTAAAATCACTAGAGAAGAATGGAGGAGAAGAGATTGCAGTGTGACGTGTGACTCCCCTGGAGGGTGATTTCTCACTTTCTCTCTTTCTCTGTCTCTTTCCAGTGAGCATACATGCCCTATGGTAAAAAGAAAAAAAAATCTTTAAAAAAAAGCCATAGGAATTCATTTGTGTCTGTATTTTGCAATATGTTAGCAATACAGGCTGCAATTTGAAGATGTGCCAGATCCTTCCAATCTGGAAGGCACACAACAGTGGTAGTTTACTAAATAGTGTTCTATTGGCAGGAAAGACTAAGCTGACAGATCTCCCCAGGAGGCTCACCTACTCAAACAGAGTAACCTTTTTACACACTGGGAAATTCTGGCAGAATCCATTCTTGGAAGCATCTGAAATTTTGACAAATTACATTTATCTAAAGTAGGAATTTGGGGAAATCGTACTTGTTTTGACACATCAGAGAGGAGATCTGGCGAGGATCTGCACTGTCGTTCATGGTACTGAGATGGGTAATGTTTCCTGAAATCCCCAAACAGAGAAGTCATTGAATTAGCCTTCATGTGAACACCAGGATACATACAAATCCCTAAATTCAACTGAAAACCAGCACGAGAAAGAAAAACAAAAGCGCGTACCTTTCAAATGGCAAGCTCTTCAACCTCCCTTTTTTCCCATATTCCAAAAGTTGCCTTTGTGTTCTTCCACTATTATAATGAGAAGATGACAATGGTTGATTCCAGTCATAAGCCAGTAGGCTACCGAAACTCGAAAGCCTTATTTCTTGATGAATGACTCTATCATGAATCTTTAACCATCAAATTAGTGATAATATCCACTTATTGAAGGACCAGGCATAGAGCAACCTCGAATACTCAGAAATTCTTTTAAAACCCCTGAACCAAATTATATAACAGTTAACAACTCTAGACGTAAAAACTAATATGCTTTCCTTAAAAGGCCTTGCCTCTACCTCCAAATCAGTCAACTGACTTACTTTACATATTACTTCTAATGAGGCTATTGATCTGTTTTCCGATCCACTGCAGAAGAAAAGCAGCAAGCTAGACAGTACAAGACGGTTGCTCCAGTCAGGCATATACTAGCAAAGAAAGCCAGCTGACTGCTGGGAGAAACACAAGAGCCAAAAAAGAAATCACAAGAATAATAAAACCCAAAAGCCTGGGCTATTTATCACTGAAGTGCAGGGCCAGACATGCCTCCCCCGCCCTGAGGCCATCACTGCACTACAGCTGCCTGCAGAAGATAATAAGTGATGTTTATAATAACTCAGGTCATTAAGAAAAGGGCAAAATATGCTCTGTATCATCTGTTTAAGAAGGTAGGGATTTGGAGAATATATTCTGGAAGGATTCCATCGAAAATATGTGAAGTTTTTGAGATCTCAATTCATATTAGGGCAGGCTTCCACTATGGAAAAATTCCCTTATGTGGAAGCATTTGATTACGACTTTTTTTTTTTTTATCTTAGCTAAGGGTTTTGAAAACTTCTTGAAAAGAATTCCTAGCTTGGTGTATTCAAGTAAAAACATTATCTTAATTTGACCTCACTTCCGTTCCCCTAAGGTGTGACCTGCAGTAAAGAACGTCAAGTGCAATATTGCTCAATTTTTTTTAATTAAAAAAAAAATGTTTGTTTATGGGGCCGGTAGGTGGCATGGTGGTTAAAGGCACTGGACGCCCACCTGGTCCAAATCCCAGACCTGGTGGCTTCCTTTCTCACTTTCTCGCTCGCTCTCTCTGGTCAACTTGGAGAATAATAATAATAATAATAATAATAATAAAGTTTAAAAATTAAAAAGTAATTATTTTTCTTTTTTTTGGAGAGGTTTTTGCTATAGGACGCATGTGCTCACCAGAAAGACAGAGAGACAGAAAGTGAGAAATCACTCCCCAGGGACGATGGCCACACCACAATCCCTTCTCCTCCATTCTCCTCTCAGGATCTTGGGCACACATGCACACGCACCCGTCGTGAGTTTAAGCCACTGGGTCCAGGACTCAAACTGCAGTCGACTACATGGGAGTCCAGCGACATAGCCATTATGCCATCTGCTGGCCCCCCAAAAATAATTCTTACAAAACACAGTTTGTTTATTTCATGAGTGAGACACAGAAAAAGAAGCAGGAAGACAGCACTTCCAACCAGGACCTGATGCTGTGGTTCACCTCTAGCCTCTGTCAGCCCCATATCATGGGCACACGCATGTCTGGCAGACTCAGGGAGGTCTCTGGGCAAGAAGCTGGAACCTTCCCACGAGGATTAGTCTCACAGGGCAGAGTATTATGTTACCACTGTCTAGATCCTGCTCCATCTTTTTAATTCTTTATTCCCTCTGGTGCCTTTTCATTTTACCTTTTGCCTAACCAGCACCACTAGAGTGTTGTTGAGCTCTCCTTTCTGTGGATTGTATAGAAGTTAGATAAAAGGGAAACAGTAGGTTCATTGAATACATTTTCTGAAACTGCACATATTCCCCACATGTCCTCACCCCTGCCATCCTTGCCAGGATACTGATCCAACCTCTAAGGTAGGGCATGCCTCTCGTCCTGCCTCACAATTAGGAAATGTTGACTTAATGTGTCATATCGAAAATGAGCAGTAAAAGGTATAATCTTTCAAGTCACTAAAATGAATTCTTTATCATATCTAGAATTTAAACTCCTCCCATGCCTCTTATGTTATTGAAAATAAGCAACGTGTGTAGTTCGCCGATGTGTAATATTTAATTACCTATAGCGGAAACTAGAACCCTTGCTGCAAAGGAGCGTTTTGGGTTTTGATTTGGGCTCTTCTGAAAGCCTGAAGAAAGCATGGTATTCCACACAAGTCTTCCAGAAAGCTTTGCAAGCATCTCGGCTGGCCATGGTGAACTCCAAGGTGTCCTTGCACAGCACCTGTATAAACCAATTTTTATCAAGCAAAACATCCTTCAACAATATCAGAGATCTTCACATCCCAATGCCTTCTAAACTATAGGCCAGGAGGCTCACACAGCTTCTGATTTTCCAATTGGCTCCCTGTAAGCTTCACACCTACTGAAAGCATATGATTGGCAACCTTCCAAAGAACAGATAAACAGGGCCGCTGCTCACAAACAGAGTCTTCTCTAAGAAGCAAACCTTGTTTTGCACACTCCCTTCACCTTAAGCACTTTTTTTAAAAAAAACATCTCTTCTCTGCCAGGAACATTTTTATGAAGTGGCAAATTTTGTTAAAATGAACATGAAAGGTCATCCTTTCAAGGTGACAAGAAGTAATAAATGACCAACAGGAAAGGGGGGGTAGGAGGAAATCTCCTTACAGATGGGAGGACTTACAGGATGATTACATGTATATGAGTCTTTTTAATGTACCAACTGGAAACTTTTCCTCTCTATGCTACCACCTTCTATGATGTTTTATGTTAGCATTTAGCATATTTGATCTATCCTAGGGGAGAGCTTACCTTTCAGATCTAGAGTCCAAGTTTTCTCCACCTCTTGACTCACTATCTACCCCCATTAGCCCAAGGTTACCTGGTATGCTTGCAGCTCTGTTTTCAACAGCCCCATCAATCTATTACATTGCCATCCCCCCTTCCTATCCAGGTTTCTACACGCAGCCCCTAAGGCTCTCTATGAACTTCACACAGGATCGGATCTCCTTAAGTGTTTAAATGATCACTTTTATATTAGACAATAATCTAGAGCATGAAACTCAAACTACTGGATTTTCTGTAGTTTTAAATTTAGTTAATGTGGACCAGCCAGTGGCATGGTGGGGCAAGGCTGGATCCCACATGGCTGATAGTGCAGTTTGAGTCCTGGACCCATTGGCTTAAAAAACATACCAGGCACAAGTGCATGCATGTCCAAAATCTCAAAAGGAAAAGGAGGAGAAGGGATTGTGGCATGGCCATCACTCCGTGGGGTGCTTTCTCTCTGTGTCTCTCTTGCTCTCGCTCTCGCTCTCACTGTCACTTTCGCTCTCACTCTCACTCTTTCTCCAGTAAGGATACATGCCCTGTAGCACAATTTTTTAAATGATTTGGTTTTTTAGAAATGTCATGACACATTTTTCCATAGAAAAAAATACATCATGACTTTTCCAACAACCCAATAGTTGATGCGTACTTTCCACTTCATTTTTTTTAAAGTTTGTTTATGGAAAGAGAGCCAAGTACTCCTGCAATATGCATCCTCCTCCAGCAAGGATCACGTGTACACCTACAGGTACACCTGGTGTGTTTAGATTGACCCAGGATCTGAACCCAGGGCCTCACATACGGCTCCAGTAACATGCAGTGGCACCCCATTGGTTGTCTGGGTCATGCGTGCATGTAATAATATTTGCTTAAGGAAAGTAGATAAAGATATTTTATAAAATGCAACACATCATTATCAAATGAATGTCTCTATAGTCCTCTATGTAGTCATTTTCTTTTGACTCATCAAAGCCCTAAAAGAATGATATCCATGGAGACCTGCCTTTCAGGCCAGGCACCCCATTTTCCTATCACTTTATTCCTTCTAAACTTCCAATCAGGTTTCTTAGTGTTTGCCTTCAGTAAAAATATAACTTAAAGCTCTGGTTTATTCATCTACCTGCAAAAGGGGTGAAAGGTGTCAGCATCACCCCTCATGGTCAGCCAAGTTTACCACTTGTATTCTAACCATTTGCAGAAAAAAAAATGCTAAGTGAACAAAAACTAAAATAATTATAAAGCTACTTACCAAGATATTGGCATGAAGTTTGATGAGAAAATGCTTTCTCTTAAAACTCAACTTGCGTATTTTAGCCCAGTTGAAAGTATTGATCTTTGTATTTCCCTATGAAGAAGCACATGGCAAATTTCAAAATGTGCCAGCACGAGTTAGTTTTTAAAACAGTACCAACTTGATATAAAATGCACTTCATGAATGTGGCCATCCTTGACCCATCTCTCATGTAGATTGATCCTATCACACTAAGTAGAAGATATGCTAAAGAAGGCATTCCAGATGGGACACCAGACTGTTTGGGAATACAAGTCAGAAGGGGTATGCCTGGGAAAGGTTACTAGCCAGGACTGGGAGATCACAGTAGAAAAGGATTACTGCAATAACTTCTCTAATCTCATGTCTTCCCCATGTTTCCAGATTCAACTGTGAAAAAAAATCTAAATAAAAATAAAGTCCTATTTCTCCTGCTACGCCTTTTACTCAAATACCTTCAAAAGCTTCTCACTGTCCACATTCTCAAGTCTTGGCTAGGTTTTGCTAACTCATCTAATAGGTTATTGGGAAAGTTATGATGCATTTTTACACAGAAAAACAGAAAAATATGTCATGACTTTCCCAATGACATTTTCTATTGAATATACGACCTTCTATTCCACTGTGAACCCAAAATACAGTTCTGTCCATATTTGTACCTTCCCTCTAGTGATTTCCTCCCTCTCCTTACCTAGAATGCCTTCCACATAGTCAGACCCTCTTGCCAGCTCTGATAGCACCTCCTCTAGCATATTCTATATAATTATTGAAGTCAACACCCATTTCAAACTCCTCTAAACTGCTCTAGCTCTCTCTGGTCTTCCCAAACAACCTAGGGTTTTTATTTGTTTGTTCTTTGTTTAATAGATAATACAGTCACAAAGTTCCCAAATCAAAAATATCCATAAAGCTTATTATCTCTTACCTCTACTTCTGTCCCCATCCATTCCTTACAAGTTACCATGTATATGAATTATATGACCTAGTAACTGTTGATTACTCACTGTTGGGTATCAAGCACTATTTATCTGACCTCTCTAAATAAACATCTTCATGGCAGGACCCATGTATTATACTTAATGTTAGTTTCCTGATTGTGTCATGCTTTTTTCTTCTCAGGGCCTTTGCCCTTTTTCTGGAACACTTTTTTTCCCTCCCAACTCTATCCCTTTGGCCTGAATGACTTCCCCAAGAGCTTAGCTTAAATGTGAAGGCCCTCTCATCTGTATGCTACCTTAGCACCCCTTGCTTCTAGCACAAAGTATATCAAATTTGTTTGTAATTACTTCTTTAATTGTCTGTCTTCCCACTATTAAAATTCAAGTTCCATGAAGTCAGGATCATTCTCATTTACTTCCATAGCTCTAGTGCCCAGCACAGCACTGAGAGAATGGACAATAAATATGAAAACAGAATGAATGAATGAATAGATGGGCACCCAACTCTACAAATATACCAAATAAAAGCCCTTGAATTATATTATTTAAAACAGGTGAATTTTATGCTATGCAAATAACATTTCAATAAAACTAATTTTAAAAATCAAAGGGTACAATAAAGAGTACATACAAAGTATTCAATACAGAAGTATCCATAATTTTTCACTGGATTTGGGGAAGGGATAACAGATACTCTAAGAGCAGCTATTTGTTTCCAACTGGACATGTAAGTATTCACATGAAAAAATTCACCACCAGACACCATGGCCTTGTTTCTCTACGCCCCACCCCCAACCTCTCCCATTTGGGAGACAATGGCAAGGATCAGAGGTTAAAATGTTATGAGTGGCAAGTCCCTCCTGGGTGTGTGATTCACTGGGCCTTTGACCATCAATGAGACTCTCATGGTGAAAACTTGACAACCAAATAAATGAGAAAGTCAAGATTCTCTTAGCTGAGTTCCTAAGTGACCTGCTTTGTGACTTACTTCAGTGCTCTAGTTCAGTCTTTGGGGTTAGTGGGTTTCAGGTCATCCCTTCCTTTCTTACAAGTGATTCATGAATAAACCTGCCCTATGTATCTGCCTATGATTCTGTGTCATTTTGAAGGTTAGGCAAGTGTCTTTGGACCTTACCTTGAATCTAAATTAATTGAATGTTCAGAGACATGGGGACACCTAATAGACTAAAAACTGCTTTAAAAAATAGCCTCTGGTGAACTTCCCTGGGGTGAGGATTAATAATGACTGAAGACCAGAGAGCCTGAAGTTGTTTTCTAACCTGGAACTCAAAGTCCTAGGGAAAAAATGAGCCAGTAAACAGCCATGGTTGCTGGCAGGGTTGGGCACTAATCCACCACTAGCTGGCAACTGGGTATCTCCAATGAAACCAGTAACTGAAAGAGAGCCTATTAGATTTAGGAACCTTCAGGGTGTCTCAGGAGGATTTGGACAGTCAATGCACTTTGTGTCACAGCCAAAGCTTCTGGCATGCCAAAATCCTCCAGTCTAGAAGTTTCAAAGAGCCTCTCAATTTTATCTCCCCACCATGCTGGGCTAATGTGAATTTCCCAGAGTCAAGACAGTCAATTATAAATTTTGTATGGCAGCAAAGCAGATTGAGAGAAGAGGACTTCCTTTCCAAGTATTACTTCTCTTTCTGGCTGGTGATAAGACTGAGGGGTGGGACTACCGAAATTGAAAGGATTAAAAAGAATTATTACCCGTAACACCAAAACTCCCATGTGAGCAACAGCCAGGTGAATCTGCATCCCTTCACCATCACTGGCAGGGTGAGGCCTGATGCCATACATATCCAGCTTTCTCGCTATGTCCAGTAGCAGAATGTCAGATTCAGCTGGGCTCCTGCCACTGCAAGGAGAAAGAATTCATGAGCCTCATAAATATAGCAAGAATGACACTCCTATCCTGAGAGCTCCATGAGGAGCTCAGCATTTGCTTGAGCCTGAAGCTTCTCAGGCTTAAGGGCTTGCTTTTAAGATTCTCTTCCCAGCTTTAGTGTTCTCTACTGGGAGAAGCAGGTGCCAGTTAAAGTACTTACATGTGCTTCTGATGAAACTGCATGATCTTGTTCTCTAAAGAGTCTTGGTTTGGTAAGTACCGGGTTTGTGCCAGATGTTTCCTATCTGTTTCTTCATGAAAGTCTCCCAGTTCTGCTGCATGGCAGAAAAGTGACATTTTTATTTAGATTACCATTGAGGAGTTAGGCAATGGAGCACCCAATATACCCTCTGACCTCCCCCAAACAGTTTTTCTCTGCAACCAGTGCAGCACCATGCCTCCCACTCCATGTTCTATGTATATTTATGTTTCTTTTTCAAATCAGCAACAGTGGGTTTCTATAAAATCTGTGTAATAAGTCATAGAACCAGTGTAGGTCTTAAATGCTCCAAGATCACAGTTGAATATTTCATTAAGTTTTTCTTCTCCCACATTCTGTTTATGATCTCTCCTACTTCCAATCGGCCCCTGTGGTAGGTTGAATTGTGTCCCCTTCCAATAAAGTTTTTATGTTGAAGTCCTAACCCCCAGTACCACAGAATGTGACTATATTTGGAGACAGAGCCTTTAAAGAGGCGATTAAGTTGAAATAAGACCATTAGGGTGGGCCCTAATCCAATCTGCTTGGTATCCTTATAAGAAGAGGAATTTTGGACACTCAGACAGGAGCACAAAGAAAAAAGACCATGTGAGGACACAGTGAGAAGGCAGCCATCTGCCAGCCAAGGAGAGAGGCCTCAGAAGAAAGCAAACCCAGCGACACCTTGATCTTGGATCCCTAACCTCCATGACTGTGAGAAAATAAATTCTGTCCTATAAGTCATTCAATGCTTGGTATTTTGTTATGGCAGCCCTAGCAAATTAATACAACCTCCCAACTTTACTCCACCCTGATCATACCTTATCAAGAAAGGGGAATATAAATGCCAACAACAATGCAAGCCAGTCACCACCAATTCATCACTCTGCACTTTGGAAATCTAGTAAATTCCCAGCTATCTGGAATCCCTAGTAGATGAATCATTCTGAAAATTATTCTGACTTTTTCAAATAGCTGGCAGTAGAATTGTGGTCATAACTTACTCTTTTTTAGATGCCTCCAGTTTATTCATATAACCATCTATTGCAGCACTATGCCTACAAAGCCTAATAAGATATTTAGGATTAGCTGACCTGAATGTAAACCCTTGCTTCTAGCACAAAGTATATCAAATTTGTTTGTAATTACTTCTTTAATTGTCTGTCTTCCCACTATTAAAATTCAAGTTCCATGAAGTCAGGATCATTCTCATTTACTTCCATAGCTCTAGTGCCCAGCACAGCACTGAGAGAATGGACAATAAATATGAAAACAGAATGAATGAATGAATAGATGGGCACCCAACTCTACAAATATACCAAATAAAAGCCCTTGAATTATACAATTTAAAACAGGTGAATTTTATGCTATGCAAATAACATTTCAATAAAACTAATTTTAAAAATCAAAGGGTACAATAAAGAGTACATACAAAGTATTCAATACAGAAGTATCCATAATTTTTCACTGGATTTGGGGAAGGGATAACAGATACTCTAAGAGCAGCTATTTGTTTCCAACTGGACATGTAAGTATTCACATGAAAAAATTCACCACCAGACACCATGGCCTTGTTTCTCTACGCCCCACCCCCAACCTCTCCCATTTGGGAGACAATGGCAAGGATCAGAGGTTAAAATGTTATGAGTGGCAAGTCCCTCCTGGGTGTGTGATTCACTGGGCCTTTGACCATCAATGAGACTCTCATGGTGAAAACTTGACAACCAAATAAATGAGAAAGTCAAGATTCTCTTAGCTGAGTTCCTAAGTGACCTGCTTTGTGACTTACTTCAGTGCTCTAGTTCAGTCTTTGGGGTTAGTGGGTTTCAGGTCATCCCTTCCTTTCTTACAAGTGATTCATGAATAAACCTGCCCTATGTATCTGCCTATGATTCTGTGTCATTTTGAAGGTTAGGCAAGTGTCTTTGGACCTTGCCTTGAATCTAAATTAATTGAATGTTCAGAGACATGGGGACACCTAATAGACTAAAAACTGCTTTAAAAAATAGCCTCTGGTGAACTTCCCTGGGGTGAGGATTAATAATGACTGAAGACCAGAGAGCCTGAAGTTGTTTTCTAACCTGGAAATCAAAGTCCTAGGGAAAAAATGAGCCAGTAAACAGCCATGGTTGCTGGCAGGGTTGGGCACTAATCCACCACTAGCTGGCAACTGGGTATCTCCAATGAAACCAGTAACTGAAAGAGAGCCTATTAGATTTAGGAACCTTCAGGGTGTCTCAGGAGGATTTGGACAGTCAATGCACTTTGTGTCACAGCCAAAGCTTCTGGCATGCCAAAATCCTCCAGTCTAGAAGTTTCAAAGAGCCTCTCAATTTTATCTCCCCACCATGCTGGGCTAATGTGAATTTCCCAGAGTCAAGACAGTCAATTATAAATTTTGTATGGCAGCAAAGCAGATTGAGAGAAGAGGACTTCCTTTCCAAGTATTACTTCTCTTTCTGGCTGGTGATAAGACTGAGGGGTGGGACTACCGAAATTGAAAGGATTAAAAAGAATTATTACCCGTAACACCAAAACTCCCATGTGAGCAACAGCCAGGTGAATCTGCATCCCTTCACCATCACTGGCAGGGTGAGGCCTGATGCCATACATATCCAGCTTTCTCGCTATGTCCAGTAGCAGAATGTCAGATTCAGCTGGGCTCCTGCCACTGCAAGGAGAAAGAATTCATGAGCCTCATAAATATAGCAAGAATGACACTCCTATCCTGAGAGCTCCATGAGGAGCTCAGCATTTGCTTGAGCCTGAAGCTTCTCAGGCTTAAGGGCTTGCTTTTAAGATTCTCTTCCCAGCTTTAGTGTTCTCTACTGGGAGAAGCAGGTGCCAGTTAAAGTACTTACATGTGCTTCTGATGAAACTGCATGATCTTGTTCTCTAAAGAGTCTTGGTTTGGTAAGTACCGGGTTTGTGCCAGATGTTTCCTATCTGTTTCTTCATGAAAGTCTCCCAGTTCTGCTGCATGGCAGAAAAGTGACATTTTTATTTAGATTACCATTGAGGAGTTAGGCAATGGAGCACCCAATATACCCTCTGACCTCCCCCAAACAGTTTTTCTCTGCAACCAGTGCAGCACCATGCCTCCCACTCCATGTTCTATGTATATTTATGTTTCTTTTTCAAATCAGCAACAGTGGGTTTCTATAAAATCTGTGTAATAAGTCATAGAACCAGTGTAGGTCTTAAATGCTCCAAGATCACAGTTGAATATTTCATTAAGTTTTTCTTCTCCCACATTCTGTTTATGATCTCTCCTACTTCCAATCGGCCCCTGTGGTAGGTTGAATTGTGTCCCCTTCCAATAAAGTTTTTATGTTGAAGTCCTAACCCCCAGTACCACAGAATGTGACTATATTTGGAGACAGAGCCTTTAAAGAGGCGATTAAGTTGAAATAAGACCATTAGGGTGGGCCCTAATCCAATCTGCTTGGTATCCTTATAAGAAGAGGAATTTTGGACACTCAGACAGGAGCACAAAGAAAAAAGACCATGTGAGGACACAGTGAGAAGGCAGCCATCTGCCAGCCAAGGAGAGAGGCCTCAGAAGAAAGCAAACCCAGCGACACCTTGATCTTGGATCCCTAACCTCCATGACTGTGAGAAAATAAATTCTGTCCTATAAGTCATTCAATGCTTGGTATTTTGTTATGGCAGCCCTAGCAAATTAATACAACCTCCCAACTTTACTCCACCCTGATCATACCTTATCAAGAAAGGGGAATATAAATGCCAACTACAATGCAAGCCAGTCACCACCAATTCATCACTCTGCACTTTGGAAATCTAGTAAATTCCCAGCTATCTGGAATCCCTAGTAGATGAATCATTCTGAAAATTATTCTGACTTTTTCAAATAGCTGGCAGTAGAATTGTGGTCATAACTTACTCTTTTTTAGATGCCTCCAGTTTATTCATATAACCATCTATTGCAGCACTATGCCTACAAAGCCTAATAAGATATTTAGGATTAGCTGACCTGAATGTAAACAACCTCCGATTATTTAGATTTTTGAATTCTTTTGTCTTCTTTATCATTTTTATGCCTCCTCTCTCTCTCAGATTTACATGAATTCTTTCTTGGTCATTGATTTCCTCTGAAGTCAAAGTTTAGAACACTTAATTTTCTTTTTAATTGTGACTTCTAATCTAATGTAAAATAAGAACCCAGATATCCAAATCTGTTATCATTATATATACTGCAGGAGTAAACAGAAGGAGTCTTCAAAAAGTTCATTAGAAAAATACGCTGTTAATGGATTTTAAAAAATAATTGTACCCAAGTGAACTCATATAAGTGAATTCCATTTTTCCACAACTTTTCTGAAATCTCTTCATAGATTCTTGATGGGAAATTGTAGTGCTTTCTTGCTGAGTAAAATATTGAGTCATCAGGAAAGTCATGACATATTTTTCACATGGAAAAATGCATCATATCTTGGGGCAAGCAAGTGGCATGGGAGTTAAAGGTGCTGGACTCCCACATGGCTGACTGTGGTTCAAGTCCCAGATCTTGTGGCTTATTTTCTCACTTTCCGTTTCTTTCTTTCTCTGTCTCTGATCAAACTGAAAAAAAATAATAAAACAATAAATAAAGTTAAATAAAATAATTCTTTAAAGGAAAATATGTCATGACTTTCCAATGACCTAATATGTGGACAATGGCAAAAATATTTTTAGTGCTGGAATCCTTTTTGTTTCTCTTCTGACTTAGTTTTCCATTTTTATTTTAGACAAATAGCATGCTGAGCTTTAGACAACTGACATGCATAATGTATATTTCAAAATCACAATATAATGAAAATCTCCAGATAACAAACATTTTTAAAGATCAAAGTAATGACTCTTTATTTATTTATGTATTTTCCCAATATTGACATAGGTACAAAAAAAAAAATCTCACCCAAACCTAATCAAGTCCAGATGGTTTTGCTGGTAAATTCTATCAAATATTCAAAGAAGAAATTGCATAATGTATATTTCAAAATCACAATATAATGAAAATCTCCAGATAACAAACATTTTTAAAGATCAAAGTAATGACTCTTTATTTATTTATGTATTTTCCCAATATTGACATAGGTACAAAAAAAAAAATCTCACCCAAACCTAATCAAGTCCAGATGGTTTTGCTGGTAAATTCTATCAAATATTCAAAGAAGAAATTCTTTACAAACGTTTCCAGAAAACAGTGGATACTTACTAACTCATTCTATGAGGCCAGTATCCCCGATACAAAACCAGACAGACATCACAAGAAAAGTACAGATCAATATAGCTCATGAATGCAAGAAGCAAAGATGCTTAATGAAATCATAGTAAGCTGAATCCAGAAACATATAAAAAGGATTATATTGTATGGCCAAGTGGGATTTATCCCAGGATTGCAAGGTCAGTTCAACATATGAAAATCAATTGCTACAATACATTATGTTAAAGGAAAAAAAACACCACACATTATTATCCGAATAGATCCAGACAAAATCCAACACCCATTCATTATAAAACAAACTCAACAAACAAGGAATCAAAGGTAAATTTTTGAAACTGATAAAAAGCCTACAGCTAACATCATAATCATACCAAATTGAGAGACTGCATGCTTTCCCCTGAGACCAGGAACAAGACAAAGATGTCTATCCTCACCATTTCTATCCAACACTGTACTGGTGATTCTAGGCAAGAAGAAGAAATATAAAGAATTTGCCTAAAAAGGAAGAGATAAGTTGTCTTTACCTACAGGTAACATGATTCTGTACATAGAAAATCCTAAGGAACACACACAAATCTACTAGAATTAATACATGAGTTCACCAAGGTAGCAAGATATCGATCAGTACACATAAAGTAACTATACTTGTACATACTAGCAATTAACAATACAAAAATGAAAGTAAGAAAACAATTCCAAGGCCAGTCTCATGACCTACTGGTTAAGAGAGCCAGATTCCACATGGCTAACCACATTTTGAGCTTTGACCCCAGCAGCTTGAAAAATGTGACAGGCATGTGTGCACATATGCCCTAAATCCCAAGAGGATGGATATATGAAGGAGAAGGGATTGCAGCATGACCATACCCCATTGGGGAATTCTCTCTCTCCTGCCAGTGCATGTGCCCTATGGAAATTTTAAAAAGAGAGAAAACCATTTAAATAAATGGAATTTCATTTAAAATAACATCAAAAAAGGATAAAATACTAAAGAAATTTAACACAAGAAGAATGAGACCTACAGAGTGAAAACTACACAACAGTAAAACTCTGTAAAAATGGAGAGACATTTAAGATTTATGGGCTCAAAGACTCAATATTGCAAAGATGGCAAATTTTCCAGAAGTGATCTACAAACTCAATGCAACACCCATCAAAATCACAGCAGGCTTTTTTTTTTTTTTTTTTTTTTTTTAAATTTGAAAAAATTTTTTTTTTTTTTTTTTTTTTGCTATACCAAAGGGTATATGTGCTTATGAGAGAGGGAGAGAAAAAAAGGAAAGAAACAACCTCCAGTGGGGTGTGGTCATGGTGCATCCCTTTCTCCTCCCCACCCCCCAGGAGGGATGGCCACGCCGCAATCCCTTCTCCTCCGTTCTCCTCTCAGGATCTTGGGCACACAAGTACACGTGCCTGGCGTGAGTTTAAGCCACTGAGTCTGGGACTCAAACCGCGGTCGACTACATGGGAGTCCAGCAACATAGCCATTACGCTAACTACTAGTCCCCAAAATTGACAAACATTCTTAAATTTTACATGGAATGCACAGGAAGCAGAATGAACAAATAACACAATCTTGAAAAAGAAAAAAGTTGAGAATACATACTTCCCTATTTCAAAATTTACTGTGGGACCAGCAGTTAGCATAATGGCTATGTTGCTGGACTCCCATGTAGTAGACCGGCGTTCGCGTCCCG